ACACCAAAAAAGCCAGAAGTCCCCGTTAAAATTACAAATGAATATCTACCACCAGCGAAGCCAGTCGTTTCACAGAAAGTAGAAACGACGCAACGACCAATAATAGCGGCTACAATACCCGCCTATAGACCTGTATCCCAAATTACGCAGTTTTCCAATACACCTATAACAACAGAACTCCCCTTCAAATTTACAAATGAATATCTACGACCAGTGAAGCCAGTTGTTCCACTTAAAGTGGAGACAACACAACTACCAATAATAGTTGCTACGATACCGGACGACAATCCTCCCGCATCAGGGGATACACAATTTTCCGCTGCGCCCAAAAAATCAGAAGTCCCGACAAAATTTATAAGTGAATATGTGCCATCGTATCAGCTGGTGCAGACAACACAACGGCCAATAATAGTGGCTGTAACTCCCACATATAACCCATTTTTGGAGATTGCAAAAAATCCATTAGTACCTGCTAAGTTTTCTAATGAATACTTACCACCGCAAAAAACGATCACCGAAATTAATGTACAGCCAACAGTACAAACTGTAGCAGCAATAACTACTACATACAAGCCAATCGCGGTCATTACAAAGTCTCCCATTATAAAGCAAACGCCAATCGTAACGACTAAGGTCGTTGACAAATATTTACCGCCAAAGCAAGACATTATTTCGATAAAATTACAAACAACACCGAAGCCAGTCCTACCGTCAGCAAGTACAAGCTCAACATACAAATCAGTGTCGTCGGACACTAAGACACTCTTTATACACGAAAAGTCTCCCAATGTCAATTATGATTATTTACCACCAAACAGATCACCTGCTGTAACATCGATTCCACTAGTGCCATTTAAAGCCGTCACAGATCCGACGAAGAAGCTGAACACTTTTGATGACAAATACATACCACCAACACAAAAAGATACGAAGCCAATAAAAGTAAATAGAACCCAATCGAAGAAACCAATCACACCTACTACGAAGAGTACAGAAAGTCAGAAAGTGACCCCAAATATTAAAATCATTAATACACAATCAAAACCAGAGTCAACAAAAGTGACTAAGAGTATCCCAAATAAGCAGATTGTGAGGACAACGAATTCTCCGATTTTACCACAGCGACCGATCAAACAATTTGAGAAAGTATCAAAACTGCCTGCAAAACCTACTAATCAAGCAAGGCCTTTGATACAAGTTTCGAAGTCAATACCGCCCGGCCAACCCAATAACGAATATCTGCCAGCAGTAACGAAATTTCCAGAGCCATCACATTCTCCATCTGCTTTATTAAAAGAGAAGCTAGAGGGTCCAACTGCTAGAGCTCCTGCACCATCCTACAAACCTAGTCAGCTCAACAATGAATACCTGCCCCCGGCAACCAAGATACCAGGATCAGCGCATTCGTCATCAATCTTTGCTAAGCCCAATCCCGTTCCTAACAAAACTACATTAGTCAGCTCAAAATCTTCAATTCCAGCTAGCAACAGCAAGCAACAAGTCTCGGCCCCCCCTAATCCATTTGTTAACGCAGCGATTACTGTGAAACCGGCAATACATGTAATACCGATAACTGCAAAAATCGAACATTTGCCAACGATTGCGAAATCTCGTTCAACAGCTATTAGTGAACACCTCAAGAAGGGATATGAGACGGCTGTTTCGAAACCTTTACTCCGGCTAAATCCTACGCCTCCCCTTCAAACTGCAGATGCGGTTATTGTTACACCCAACTTACCGCATCAAGGTTACTTCTATCCAAATAATCCCCAGCCACCATTCACTTTTTAAGTCAAGTTAATCATTGACGTTGAATTTTTGACTAAATATTTCAAAAACAACAACAACAACAATAACAAAAAAATGAAAAACCCAAAATTCTAGTTTAGCTAAGAAACTAAGTTTTGTTTTGTTTTTGCCATAAATATTTTATATATTGTTCCCATATATATTCATACGTACATACATATACACATATATATTAGTATATATATTTATACCTATAAGCATCCACGAAAATCTAGTTTATTTAAGTTTCTTTCTATGCAAAGATTCCAAAAAAAAAAAGAAAAAAAAAACTCGTTAAACGCATAAAAATCGAAATATTTTGATTATTAAATCGACGCGATTTAAGGAAATACATATAAAGTTCATTCGTTTTTATTTATTTGTTAACTTTTTTTGTTTCAAGGAACTGATTTTTCTTGAAGCAATAAAAAAGCAGTTTTTATTCTTTTCAATAAAGTTCTAGGTTATATGTTTATTGACCCTTTGATTATTTTGAAAACGAACCCGATTAACTTTACCGAGGTTGCGCCTTTTTTTCTTTTTTCGTTTTTCATTTTTCGTTTTACCTTGTTACAGAGAATATCAAAACAAGATTGCAACGATTTCCTTTAATGTAAACTTGATTAAACACATGGGGCTCAATAAGAGTGGTTATGAAGAAACGAGTTCTATGCCTTAAGATTCAAAAAGATACCAGAAGTTAGCCATAACTACTTCTCTCCCTTATTATTACAAGAGAAGTTTAGCAAAACAAGAAATCATTAATTTCCGTAGAACAATTTTATTAATATATTACCATTTATAATATTAGTAAATAAGTAAGAAAATTATATACGGTTTCGATCGAATCTTTTATAACCATTCTACGTATTTTAGGAAAAAATCGATAAAGAAAAGAAAAATTGAAAAAAAATCAAATTTCGATACACTAGATATGGGCTGGAGATGGATACACGGATAGGGCTGGAGGTGAATACACGGATAGGTGTAGATCGATTCAAAATTTCATAGTAATCAAGAATATTTCTGTTGTATAGAGTCCTTGAAGCTTTCTTCTGAATATTGCAAGCTTCTTTCGTGCTGCGTATAAAAACTCCACAAGAGGAAAATTAATTATGTACACCACAAGATTAGAGAAGAAAATCCTTGAAGCAAATTATATATACAAACAAGTACAACATATATATTATAATAATAGACTATTGTTACACCGATAGAATTTGGGAACGGATATTATAGATTGGGAATCGGTTTTGTCAAGTTCAGAATATTATATTCCAAATGTAATCGTGATTTCGATAAACAGGCAAATTGACGGACATATCTAAATTTGATTCCGTTAATCCGACTGATAAGGGATGAGTGTATATTTTAAAAGAACTACGATACCTAAGTGATTAAAAACTAGAATGAAAACTTTAAAAGAATTAAAAAACATATCGGATCAGCCAAGGAAAGGTAAGCAATTTTAAGAGTCAAATGTCCGCGATGGTGCATCGTAATGATAACCATCGTCTCGAAATGTTTCTGTATCTTTTCTTTGGTTACTTAAAGGCGCACTATACAAAGGCAATGGTATATTAATACTGGCTGTTGACGTTGGTAGTCCGTAAACAGACCGTGGCGTTGAAGGAGGCAAATATTGCCTGTTTTGATCAAGAATACGCAAATTCCTTAATTTCGGAGGCACATAACTGTCTTCTAGTTCGATCTTCGTTGAGGGCGTAGCAGTCAGATGAATTGGCTTGAACAGGTCCACCGATGGGTGTGAAGCGTATTCATTCGATTTAATAGTTGACGATCGCAAATAAAGTGGGCGTGTAGTAACGGTTGAAGGAGATAAGTGATCGGGCTTCGCGTTAACTGATGATGTAGTAGTAAAGAAAGGGCGATAATTCGATTCCGTATAAAATGTTTGGCGATTAGGATTCGAGGATAAATAAGCTCCTGATATTACTTGAGGCGATGAATAGTCATTTGATTGGAGAGTGCGTTTCGATGATGAAGAATCACTAGGAATTTCTCGAGGAGGCAAATATGAATTCGAACGTCGTGATGACCAGCCAGTTGTAAATGCAAAATAGTTTCGTTTTGGTGGTTCGAGTTCCGTCGATGGGACATAATTATAGTTCTGATGATAGTTTTCGCTTGGAAAAGAATTTTCCTGGTAATAATTATTCGAGTTTTTGAAGTCAGTTAAATAATTGGGATTGTTATAGCTGTCGTAAGTGCGAGGATAGTAACCATTTTGTGGGCTCTCAGTGATATAAATGTTGCGATGATTATTTTCGTAATCCTCATTGTAACCAGAAAAATTGAAACGATTAAAAGAACTTGATGGTTCATCAGCAAATATCAACGTCTGACCGAACGCACAAAGCAGAAAAAAGCGCACTAAAGTGAACTAAAACGAAAATAAATAAAAAAAAAACAAAAGTTTACATAGTCTGTGCAATAAATTCTTCCATTGTCCTTACCATGTTGAAGATGATTATCGAACAGAGAGTTGAATGAATTCAAATTGAATGCTAAAGCTTTCGGAGCATATTGTCTTATTTATATAGGGAAATAAAATTCTTCCAAATTATCGATTAAAAAGACCAATGTCGAAGAGATTGTTAACAGATTTATTGTAAACAATTTTAATTAATTTGTTTTTTTGTTCGCCTGTCATTCCCAAATTTCATTTGTTTGCTTGTTTTACTTTTCATTTTTTTTTTTTTTTTTTTTTTTTTTTTTTTTTTTTTTTTTGAAAAGCGATTTGCTCTTGCTTTATCGACAAACTATTTAATATCATTACTATTATTATTATGTCAATTCCATCCTATACAAATTGTCTGATGATAGGATTAAATTAATGTGAGAAATTTACGAAAATTACGTTACGTTTGATCATGCTTCGACTTACGCCTTATATCTGAGTTGTAATCGATTGAAAATTATTGATTTCGCCACAAACATATGTTCACCAATTATTTCAATATTGACTGAATCGACCTTTAATGGAAGTCCACTGCATTTCAAAGTTCCTCATTCGCAGCGATGCAAAAGAACAATAGCGTAAGTTATTCTTATCAATATTTTTTTGCTCAATTGAAAGTCAGCATTAAGGAATCAATGATATGAAGCGTAGATCCCTTTTGGTGAATTTGAGAAAGGACCCGAGTACTTTTATTCTTTGATTCCTTGATTTTAATTGAAAAAATTGTTCTTATTTGTAAAAAAATTAATAAAAATTATTTACAATAAATTATATAAGCTAAACTAAACTAAAGGGCTAATGTTCGTTGCTAATGTTCGTTCAATGTTTTCTCTTTAGTCTAAGGATTTAACTCTTTAGTCTCAAAATTATAATAATAACCAAAAAAAATTCAAAACAAATTTTAACCAAAGCCACTTTCATCTAACTATACATAAAATATAACAGCACTGAAGATTTTAAGGAGTAGGGAATTAATTTTTTTCTAAACGCCCCGAACTTCTATACATAATATAACCACATGATGGCGCCTGAGATAACATTGTTAAGGAAAAGAGCATACATTGCCATTTTGTAGCTGCCGCCATTTTCAATATCCAAAAAGAAAGTTTAACTGTGCTACATGACCTAGTAAATGTGCCCGCGTGAAGGTGCCAGCATGATCGGACTTTCCAGAAAGTGCCAGAAATATCGATCGGAAGTTTCCCCGTCAAGAAAGCAAGTTAAATAAAAACTCCTAATAAAAGATGTAGTAAAATTATACATAATAAAAAAAAAAATTTATAGATGCAAACATGTGCAAATAAATAGTAAATTCTCCAGCCGAAAAGAATCAATTACGACAGCATAAGTCGTTGGCCGGTATATTACTCTAGCACTATTTAATGTAAAGATTAGTTTCAGAAATTAATGATTAATAAGCAATGCACTAATAAGCGGTTAGTTAGGACTAGGACTTCTACTCAATTTTCTTTGTTAAGTTCCCCTGATCACAATCACTCACGTCAGCCGTTAAGAGTTTCGTTGCCCATTTTAACGGACTGGGAAAATTATTACTCCTCTTATTACTCTGTCTCGGTTTCTGTTTTGGGTAGAGAAAGGTGATCAAACTTGAAATTCTTAAACTTCAACAAATTTTTCTTCCATAAATTCGCCGAGAAACTGCGATCTTATCGTCCCTGCTTTTTGCCATTGCTTGCATTCACTCGAGATCTTTCAAGTTTTTTGTTATTTTCCCACTACAACCATGCTTTTCTTCAGTAATTCTCTTCATTTTTTTTTTTTTTTTTTTTTTTAATATGATTTAGGAGATGTGAGGCATATGAGGATGTGAGGCGTGTGTAAAAGTGAGGATTTGAAAGAAATGAGGAAGAAGAAAGGAAGATAGGGAACTGCCGAAGCCTAGTTGGTGTATGGCCAGACGTCAAGGGTTATGCTTTTTCCCGTTTGAGCACTCACTATAATTGCGACCAAGTGCAGTCTACCGCATTGGCATTTGAACCCCCGAGTACCGACTCTGTAGTCGCGCTTCTTACGCACTCGGCTATGTGGAAACCTTTTAATTTCATATGCCTTTGGCTGCTAATCGCATTAATGTTTTTCTAATTTGCTTGCAAAGCCCTAAGATATGAGTCGTGGACATAAATAAAAAATTATAAGTCTAGAATAAAAAATTAAATTTCTTTCAAGTTTTATTTCCCATTAATAAAATTTGAAAATTTTTAGCTTGTCGTAGTAACTTAATAAATTATTGAAAATTCGTATTATTTGCTATTTGATTATTTATTTTAAGGCGATTACGATATTGAAAACGCTGTATATATCAGGGACTTTGGAACGATAAGCATTCACTTCTTATCTCTCTATGAAGAATGCAGACGACAACAACAGTAGGTTTGATGTATTCCTGTTGAAAGAATTTTTTGCACTAATGCAGCATTTGTTAGATGCATCGCGGAATCACTGCAATTAATAGAATCCCATGCTGTTGGATTTACTGCACCACAAGGTACGAATGGGTGAGTGAAAACCCTCTATTGTATTGCGGAGATTCCTTGAAAGTATCCTCCGATAAATCATAAACATAACTAACTATTGCTCGAGTACGTTAATAAGCAATCCATTCGATTCATAATAGCGACGCTTTTAAGAAGCAAAAATTTTACTTTCTCATATATATTGTAAAATTATTAAACCTACCGTAGCCCTATAAAAATGGCTTAAAATGTTCATAACGATCATAGTTACAAACATTGTCTGCTGCACTTGGTATAATAGCAGAGATATGTATATAAAAACACTTTTAAAAAAAGGTTCCCTTTTTAATAAAATTTATTGCAATAATTAAATTCTGGATGACTTTTGCTAGCAAAAATTCCTCATGAATCGCGGAAAGCCTTTTTAAATTTTCATGTATCTTTTTATTTATTAATTTAGTTTTTACACCCTACACCACTTTGACTGTACCGATCGATTCAGAATCGCTTCTTGAACCTGCAGATCGCAGGTTTTTCAGATTTAGTGTAGTGCGACATGGTCTGATCTCTTCTCATTACTTTGAAATATCTTTATAACTAACTGTATTAAGTTAGGCGGCTTAGAGCATTCAAAAGTGGGTCTTGACACACTTTAATATTTATCCGATCAAAGAATATCATATAACGAATTAAGCTAATTTTAAACGTTTTTGCAAAATTATAGACTCAAGGTAGTTGCAATCAGATCAACAAAATATGTATTAGTACTGTTCGCATCCGAAGTTGTTGGAAGGGAAACTGCGAAATATCAAAATAATTAACAATTAAGATGAGTTTGAAATTCGCTACAATTATTTGTAAAAGCAAATATCTAAAGTCTGTGTACGAATGGTCCCCAAGATTAAGATAAAAGACTTAGTGTAGCTTTATGTTTTCTTCCGTTTACCAGTTGAACGAATTTTCTTTACACTTATATTTGCAATGCAATGCAATTTTTGCTTGCACGCAACTCTTTTTTTACACGATGTTTATTAAATAACACGATTGGTCAATGGGAGTAACTACACGACTTTTTTTCAATTCTGTTATTATTATTATTATTATTATTATAATCTTAGACTAATTAAATGAATTCTTATACCAAAAAAAAAAAAAAAAAACAGACATTGAGCACTAACAACAGAGGCCATCGGCTCTAATTTATAAAAGTAGTTTTAATAAAGTAATATAGCTGATTGTAGAACGGTCCATAGGACTAGTCGCTCCAAATGCAATATTTCTTCTAGCCAAGGAAAAGTTAGGGCAGAATTTGTCCATAATTGCAGATTGAGGGGAGGAAGATTTCTTTAAGATCCATTGGTGAGTTACAATTGTATGGCCAAGACGAGTTCTCGAAAATGTTTGGATCCGGATTTTCTCAACATTTGTTGGATATAAAGATGGAATTAATTGACTCTTATGTATATAGCAATAAATAACGATTAAGGGAGTATTTTGAGCAGAGGTTAATCAGTTTACGCCTACACATGCGTTAGTGATCTGCGTTAGTTAGAGTCATTAAATTAATTTTTTTCCCAAGTTCAATTTCCATTTTTGCGTATTGTATTCATAAACTGTTCGCTAATTTTGGTTTTTTTTTTTTTTTTTTTTTTTTTTTGTTAATAATTGTTAACATGTTTGTAAAGCACAGAATACCGCATCATAGATAAACTTTAGAGTGAATTTAAAAAACACAGTCACAGACACAGTCATATATGTCTGCCTGTGAAATTACGAGTTTAATCTCAAAACTATATAGAACTTGGTGTCAAAATCATCAGATTTTTTTTCTTATATAATTTTATTTAAATTTATTAAGCATCAGATTAAGTGTGAGAATCAACCAAACCGGTATAACAAAATATTCAAACACATATATAAGATTTGTCTTTTAACGTTAGTTAGATAATTTTGCTTGGAATATTCGCTTCTTAAGACGAACGTTGTGCTGAATAAGTGACTTTACGTTACTTTAATTATGATTTACATTAAAGCTTACACGTAGTAACATATTTATGGGTGAGCAGTGCTGCCATGTCTGAAATTGTACAATGGTTATAAAAGGACAAGATTTATATTTAATTTTTCTTCTTTTTTTGATGACTAATCCAATTAGTCGATGTCTCTAATACATATGTATACAATATATAAGTTTGGTGAGGGTCAGAGAGAAATAGGCAGGGAGGGAACGAGGGAGCCACCGCAGCCGAACAGATGTATGTCCGATCGGTACTTGTTATGTCTTTACGGATATGGATATAGAAGTTGAGTCCATCATAATTAGGAGTTCAGTTACTGCACTGCTCGAAGGTCTTTCATTTCGATATATTTCGTTCCCAATATTTATGAAAAAAGCGTCAAAGAAGCAAGTGGTCTCGAACAAAAGCAAAAGCAAAAGTCTCGATAAATATATATTATATTATCAATTCATCGACAAATGAGAGAATCCAGGTTAAGGCAAAAAACAAAACAAAAAAAAACAAAAAAACAAAAAAACAAAAATTATTAATATCTATAGAGCGAATATTAATTTGAGTAAAACAAAAAAAGAAAACAAAGTTACGTTAAATGTTTTGATTATTCAACGTTGCCTTAAAATCGATATCAATGAAGGCATAAATGCACGCCGGTGATAATAAATGCAAAATATTGCATCACCAATACTATGAAACCAGTATGCGTGTATTTTTATTATCACCACGTAACCAGCAAAGATGTTCAAATTGAAGATAAACACTTTAACTGAAGATCAAATATGAAATGGCGTAGCCGCTAGTGAAAGCACTTTACAAACATATAAAACATTACAAAAACAAAAAAAAAAAAGAAATACATATTAATATTATTTTATTATAGATGAAATAAAAACTTTCCATCAAAAATTCATGTATCAAGAACTTTGTACTTTATTATTATTAACTCTAAAGGCATTTTTTTTTTCTCTTTTTCTCATCTTAATATTTATCGTAAATACAAAGGGTTTTATATTTTCCCATGTATGTAGTGTTTTGTGTAAAATTTAATTACGTCTTCGCTGAGTGCGTCTATGAGGTGAACGGTATTGATAACCCGTATGTGAATGATAGGCTCTGTTGGACAATGTTTGCTCCGCGTCGTACGAATCCAGGCGACCAATGTTATATGATAATGTAGGCAAGTGCCTTAAACTTGGCTGTTGTACGATTTCTGGCGCTTCAAAATCAACATATTCAGGCTCGGGGGTAGCAATATCTTGTGGATTGGGTCCTTGTGTAGCAGAATCTAATAATATGGCCACCGCTGTACTAATCAAAGTCAATCCAATCAAAAGGATTTTCTGGAATTTAATTGATTTTTTTTTTTTTTAAATTAAAAATTTTTATTAATAATTTTGTTTTCTTCAATCAACAAATTTTAGTTTACCATAAAAAAATAATAGTCTCCCTTATTACATATTGTTAGCATAAGCCTCATCTTAAGTGTTTATATTATGTAAAACTCCTATTCGTTTGCGTATCTACGTATCAGTCTATCTGTGTTTCAGTCGACTTATCCACCAGGCTGCCTATCTTTCTGCGTCCCGTTTGCTATATATAATAGTTTCCTTTTTCTTTTTTTTTCTTTGTAATTCCCACTAAGCCATTAGAATCAATATTGCTTGGCAAATTGTCATAGGAAATTATATAGTTCCAAATAGATTAAAGACCTTAATAAAAGACTGAAATTATCCATTAGAAATAAAGAAACAAAGCACGCATGATTCTTAACACATTTTCGCATTCACAAAAATCAACATAATGTTGTTGTTATATTTAACTCGAAACAATCACAAATATTCTATGACATTAAAGTCAATATTATTTGGATTGTCGGCGAACTAAGTGCTGATTTATGGGAAGAAAGTCAATAACAATTGATGTTCAGAGGCGTTTATGCACCTAAAATCACTTTTAATTGAACATACCATGGAATCATCTAAAAAAGAAAAATCAACAACAATATATATTGTGATTTGATACTGTTTCAAAATAAACATTCATGGCCCTTAGTTGCTGCTGACCCTGTACATACATACTTGGTGTGCGTTCAATAAAGAATCATGAAAACGGTCATCATATCGAGCTTTCCTTAGTTTATTCATATTAGTGGTAAGTGTAAAGTCATAGTCCACGATTGCAACTATCATAACATAAATTACGAGTCGCATAAGTATCATATGGTAGAGAGGTTATAACGTAAGTATATGTATAATTCGACTGAACTGCTCGTTACCCCCTGATTATCAGATGTAATCGTCAACAAATCATCAACAAGCGAAAATTATATGTTTAAGAGGGAGGAGAATTTTCTCCTAAAAGTATTCAAAGAAACATCAAAGTATTTCATAATCTGCGATGAAACATTTTAATATCGAGCTGCACGGACGGATCGTTCGGTCAGAGAGCTACAAATGCGTCATGTTAATATAAAAGGATTCCTACGTGATCTAGAAAGCGATAGTCGCTCTATTAAAATGTTGAGCTATTAAGACCAAATGATCGCCTAAAAGTTGATGAGCAGCTCAAACATTAAGTAGCCGAAGAAAGAAGAGCTATTAACTAAGGAGAATATGTAATGTCAGAGTTTGACGTTATAAGCAAGAAATGTAATTCGGTTGACAATACATTGTAGCCGACCCAAGTTACACGACGGGCAGCCGCAAGAACTTTCATTACAATAGTTGACACATATTACGAGAAGGAAACGCTTAATAGTAGCCTTTAAACTTTAAAAATACAAAAAAAAAAAAAAATTAAATAATTTTTTTCTGACTTACAACCTATCCCTTGATTCAACTAACACGTTTACGTACAAAATTTGTGTGGGGACATATACAACTTTGTTACTTATTTTACCTACTAAAAGGAGTAGATTGGATTTATCTAATGCCTGCGACAGATACAACTATGAATTGAAGGCCTCATACACTAAATGCATTCTGGATTAATGGTAGCTCCTTATCATTTAGTCTCCTGAAAACCCCAAATTTTGCCCGCGGGCATTGTACGCGTGTCCTTTGAAAATTGTAGGCCAATTCCAAATTCTTTTGCAAATTTGTAGGCGATATCTTCACTTTTGCTAACGGTCAAATGTTTACCACAAATACTATAAAGTTGCGTCAACAGACAGGTGGACATGTTTAGGTGCAATCCAAAATTGAAATTGGCCAAGAATTCATATACGTTATGGGATTTTTTGAACCCACTTCTGAACTTTACAAAGTTAATGTAAAAAAAATTAAATTTTGATACACTATAACATTAGGTAGGCATGATCAATTATTTCCATTTAATGAGCAAAAAACTAATTTTTTATTCTCTTTGAAAAACAGAGATGTTCAACTTTTGCGAGATGCTGTGCGCTTGTCTTTCGTCCGATTTGGCCCATTTTCAGTACCAGCTTGTGTGCAAGAACTTTTAATGTTTCTGGCAAATTTGATGTCGATAGCTTGATTTTTGCGGTCAAGAGAATGTTTACAACAAGCATTGCACACACAGGCAGACGGACAGACGGACATGCTTAAATTGATTTAGAAGTTGATTCTTATATATATTCTCTGAGTAGAACTGCAAGAACGTACAACAGGAAAAAGTATTTTAACGAACTTGTTCGTGGCCCTGATCTTAATTTTATGAAACCAATTTTTAAAAGCGTTTTCGTGAGGAAACAAATCTTAGATCATATTTGGTAAACTGTAGAAACGCTATTAATACACTCAAGCCTCTGCGATCAAGATAGAAAGCCGAGACTTTTAGTTATATTTCCCTAAATAACTAACTTAGGGCTTATAGAAGTTTCGAAGTTCAACTCAAGTATTTACTAAGTGTTTAGCTCGTCAAATAGTCTAAAATAAAGCAGGCGCTATCAATCTACTGCTCTGATTTGCTTACAGCAAAGAATGCGACAATAAAAAGCATCGACATTTTTATATAATCACAGTTGCTGATGGTTATCCAAAAATCGGCTCAATTGATACAACATTTTACTCCGTTTCAATTTTTTTGGGTATATGTGAACGACTACACCTACTTACACTGATATGAGCTCATATCTAATTGATTCGTGGTTCGTTGATTCGAAACAGATCTGTTTATATAACAATTTTCCATTTATAGAGAATGCGACTGGCAAATGGTCAAAAGAGTCCATCTGGTATACATACCATTTTTTTTTTTTTTTTTAAGTTAAGTCCGTTGAAGTTCTTTAAAGTTGAATTGATAACGTGCGAGAGTTAAAGGTTTAATGGAATTTCAAATTTAAATATCTAATGAACTTCTTCTCTACCGCAAGCTCACTTAAGAAGCACAAAAACACAAATGATCTTCGGTTCACGTAATACTTGGAATTTTATATAACAACGTTAAGCATTATCAGCGATAGATGAAAGCAAACACAAATGTTTATATAATCAATGCTACATGAATATAAATCAATTAATGCGCGCATCGAAAAAAACCAACGAAGAAAGAGCGAAAATCTATTCAACGCAAATGCGTTAAAAACAAAATAAAAAAAAAAGAAATCGTTGTTGTTTTCCTAAAAAAAAAATAAAAAAATTAAAAAAAAAAGCAAACAAAATTTAGAACAATTTTGCGGGAAGATCGAGGAAACAAAAGGCTTGATGATGGTCAATGATGTTAAAGTCAACTGAGAAGACTTAATTATCGCTTTTGTAAAATAAATAATTAGTCATATGAAAAAGTCTGTATTCGAAACCATTTTGATTTCTCTTCACGCAGATTACACGTTTATGATAATATTCGACTTCTTTTCAAAGTAATGAGCATAAGATTAAAACGATTAATTTATATTCAAGTCAAATGAACACTGTCAAGAAACCGAAACAAAGAACAAACCTTTGATAGAAATCTTTTTTTTTTTAATTTTTTACTAAAACTAATAAAGCAAAGAAATAATAGAAGATTTACTTTTACTATTGAAATAATTTTGTTTGTCTTTCAATTTTTATTTTTTATTTTTTCTCTATTTAAAGCTTTAATATCCAATATCCGATAATAATCTTTTCGATTTTTCAAATTTAAAAAACTTTATTATTACGTTGATACCAATGGTTCCTGTCAAGAGTTATTCACCACCAGAAGATGAAAGTGTACCAAATTCGTTATTCCGCTTACAACATTATAGCAACGCTTGCTTTAGTCAAGCAGTTCTTCAACTGAATATGAATTCTCAAGCCGGTACTTTCATTATTTATTATGAAATTTTAATAATTGCCTTAAAACCGAAATCCTCATTACTAATACGATACACTTGCGTATATTCATTTGGCTGGTTCTCTACACACACACACACACACACACACACACACACACACACAATTTCGATAATGCGAAAGGTAATGAGACAGTTAGTGTAAACCATTGTCTGGTTGAGATATTTACATAAATATGATATCAGTGATGAACTAATAAAGTTACTCAATTATATGAATATCAATATCAAATCGATTTCTTAACGCAGGTTTCGTTTAAAGGCATCAATAAAATATTTAATTACATAAATTTATTAATTTAAACACATATATTATTTTCATACGTTTTTAAATGTTAAATATTTGTAATTTCAAAAAAAAGGTAACTAAGTTAACAACATTCGTATATCTCTATATACTTAGATACACGCGTATATATGAATCAATATTTATATCAATATATATATATATATCGATATGTATCTTATATGTTTAATATTTAAATATTTATAGTTAATAGCTCATAATTTTATTAGATATATTTGAGGTCAGTGATTTTATGTTAATTTTTACTTTTGTTATTATTCGTTTGACTTACTTTTCTTTACTCCAAATTTTGTTTATTTTGCTTTTCTTCCTCTCTGCGTGATTGCTTATCAATCTGCTTAATGAAATAACGATCCTAACCTTACCTTCGATCAAATTCATTAAACAGCCCAATCGAACGTCGCGTTAATTGGAAACGAATACAAATTTCGTATTATTTTTGCAGTTTTTTAAGAGAATACCTAACAAATACTCGATCGTTTTGGATAATACTGTAACTTCTCTTTTTACTCCATGCTTTATGTCACAGCATGACCTGGTTGAAATGTATATAAAATACACGAGAAGCGTAATTCTGCTGTTTCGTGCAAAGCAAGGTCCTGCTAAAGTGATATGCTACGCTAATCCGAAACAATTAACGCGCATAGGTCACTCCACGTATTCGCTGCACCTTTAAGAAATCAACAGTGAAGGAGGTTACCGAGAACAATTAATGCGATAGAGGCGATCATTGGAAACACTAAATGATCAATTACAAAATATATTATAAAGCGGTGTTAAGCCCACATCCTATCTTCGCTATATTCATCAGTCCTTCTAGTTATTACTTGTGTCAGTGGATAATTAATCTCTATGAGCAACACTTTCATCCTTTGAAGGATAACGGACCAAAGCTTGGAATCGGAAAAACACTCAAATGGTGAGTCATTGGTTGAAAAGAAAGATTGTGGGAGCAAAAGAGCATTAGCCAAATGTCTGGTACCATTATCTTTGAATGAAAGTTGAATTTTGCTAAAAAACCTACAAAAATTTATGCCGATTGCCAATATACGCCTGTAGCAAAAAAGTGTGCTATAAACTTTCGTTTACATTTTCACAAACATATACTATTAAGCGAAGTTTTGTCAAATTCTTATCTCCCTCACACACGCACACACACACAAAAACATAGCTTCCGCGAAGTAATACCTAATTACCCCGCAGGTGAAAGTGTTCGACGAAGTGTATTTGTGTAATGTGTACGTAGGCGTCAGGGGTGACGAACCGTACATACCATGGTAGCAGTAGTATGTAGAAGGATCTTTTTCTCCATTTCGCATAGCAAAAAAAACCACACGCGTTTAGTTGCATATGAACAAAAGCGTCTATAAGTACATGTATGAATTGAAGCTCGTTTCCTTCAATCTTTTGCCAGGAAAAACTTACAGAGTAAAAGAGTAAATCCTAAAACTATGCTACAATTCACCTTTCAAAATTTAAAAATTTCAAGATAACAGTTGCGTTTACATTCTATTAAAACGGAATAAAAGTTCATGGAAAAAGTTCAGATTATTCGATCGCTTGCTTTTGTAAGCTTTTTTAAGACTATAAATGCCTTGATTAATATTGTCGAAAACATATATATATTATATAATGTATGTATTAAGGTGTTTGTGTTGGAACGATTTTGTTAACTAAAATTATTACAGCTGGAAATATGCAGTTCACGTAGTTTTTCTGTACAAAAATTTCGTGTAAGCAATTATTTACAGTCGTTCGAAGTCTTAACATAAATTCACATTACTAAATATTTTGTGTAAACATAAGCGCCATGAAGTAGTGTTATATAATTTTTTTTTTTTTTTTTTTTTGTAGGGTTGCTTCCAATCCGTGTAACATGATGATGGCCGCGAAGAAGTTAGGGAAGAGAGATTGGAAGTGGCCGCAGCCAAATGGATGTGTGTCCAATCGGTAAGTGTTGTGTATTTAGCAGTAAAACACTCACAACCGTGATATGTTCAGTGCCGCAAGATTTGCATCCGCGAACAACAACTTGGTGGTTGCGACTTTTGCACTGTGGAGATAGAGTAACGGAAGATGATTCGTGCCTAGTCTTTCTTTTAAAAATATATTCGTTCCTTAAAAAATATTCGAAATCTAACAGTTAGATGTGGGACTTTGCGAAGATGAATGCGCTTTTCCTCATTGAATAGCATATGCCCTGCACATTTCGCTAAAAAAGTTCCTCTTAGTTATTGATAAGTCACAACATCAAACGCAGCAGGCAAAAGTCGTTTACCGACGGACAGACATGGCTAAATCACCTCAGTATTTCACGCTGATCAAGAATATATATTTTATAAAGTCTCTGTGATGGGTCTTACAGTGATGGGTATAGCAAGTAAGAAAACTACGTATGTCCGTGACCGAATGTTTTATACCAATCATCGTTATCCTAAAGGAGACAAAAAAAAAAAAAAATAATAGCATTACATATATTTATTTTCAAAATAACAAACTTTGTCGAGTAGGAGTGTGGACGTTGTAAATGTGCCCTTGGAAAAGTGCAAGTCATCTTCAAATTCTTTTGCCAATTTGCTAGGCGATATCATCATTGTCGCTGAAAGGACAATGTTTACCACAAATACCGCAGAGCTGCGCGGACAGGAAGATGGGCAGACGAACGGACAGACATGTGAAGATGGATTCCTAATTTGAAACAGGCCAAATACATATATTTTTGAAGCTTGTTTCTGTGCTTTATAAAGACATTAAAAAAAAAAAAACAATTAAAGTTTGGTACACTACAATACTATATGGTCAATTTTTCCCATTTTTATACAGGTGCCACAGCACCGATCGACCATTAATCGGCGTTAAAATTTTTGCACATTTGTCTGCTCAAGTTTTTCAATATAACGCAAGAAACCAACTTTGTATTCAGCTTGAAAAAGACAAGTGTTCTCAGCTTACTTGGTGCTGTGGGCATCTCCTGCGACCGTTTTAGACCATTTTCGTTACCAACCATCAAGAATTACCAATGCTTTTGCGAAATTTCAAGTCGCTAAACTCATTTATGCGACCAAGAGAATGTTTACAATAGACTTCACACAGATGGACAAACATGCTTATATTGATTTAGAATTTGATGCTGATCGAGAATATATATATAATATGTACTTTGTGGCGTCTCTACAGCTTTCTTCTGGGCGTTGCAAACGTTTTGACAGAATGAATATATTCATCATATCTCGCATTTTAAGTGCCAAAATTGTACGTTCTCTTCAAAAATTACTTCTGTTGTAATAATTTATAAATGACTTCATTTCATTTCTTAATATATTATTAGCTTTGTAATATGTCTGACTAACTGCTGACTACTACTGGCAGCATAGTCATAAGGTTGAGAATAATTATGCTGTTATATGTTATATGAACGAACGAACGGAAGAAGGAACAAACGATCGAATAAACGAACGAACGAACGTGATAATTATAAAATATATATAATTTTTCTTAATAAACGTAAATAATTATACGTTTCAATTTTATGTATTCACTCATTAATAAAATCGTTAAGACTTTAACGTAACTCCTATGGCACATGCATTACATTAGCTCCTAATTATGTGGTAATTATTCTATCTCGGAGATTAAATATGAGAATTTGACACCTAAAGCGAAATCGTCGTCGCTAAGCGTATAATCTTTTCATAACATATGATTCAACCATAAAAAGCATAATCACCTATCGACACACACTCAGAAACACAAATATACACAACCTTATTAGGAAAAGTCAATAGCAAGGTTAAGCGAATAATTAATATCGTAGCAAGAAAATAAGATAACAAAAAGCAAAGGAAAAAAAGAAAAGAAAAAAAAGAAAAAGAAACGAATCTAAAATTATGAATACATTTTAATCATAAATCATTACATGACAAAATTTATAGATAAATTATATCTGCGGTTAGAATCCATACACACAATCCCGCAAATGCACACGCACACCTACACCGATAGAGATATTTGGTTGGTTATGTATATGTCAACCAACGGAGATAGATGTTAATCAACATGCTTATCTATCTTAATAGGCAGTTGTGTATGTTCGCGCATGTGCTTGCCTGCGTATGCATATCCGTGCGTCTGTCTGTCGTTTGACTTGTCTATGTATATAAACTAATATTAACACTTGTAAAACTTAATTATATACATTTAAGGCATGTTAGCTGCCGCGGACATGCTGTAGAGCAAATGTTAAAGGTCTGACAGAAATAATGCTTAGTTGTTGTTCGTTAAAAGCATTATTTCGTATAACGTGCAAAACATCAGAAAAGTTCTCACATAATGTGGATTTCATTGTCTATGCAAATGCACATGAATTTTTTGCCGTAACTTTGATTTTGTTTTTAACAAATTAAAATGCACCAAGAAACTGACATTAGCTTTAGGTTCGTATGTCTGCAAAAAAGCAAATTTGATATAAGACATCTGAATAGACTTCAAACGTAATTTATGAATTTTAATAAAAGTAAAGGTTTTTCATTTACATCTTTGTTGCTATTTTTTTTAATTTTTTTTTTTTTTTTTTTGCTCTTTTTTCTCTTTCATGTATAAACAGACATTGCCAGTAATGACATTCAAAATGCACCGGATCTCAATGTAAATATACTAATATAGGATTTTGTTATTATTATAATTAAGTAAGTTAAAGCGTATCGATCTTCATCTAGCATGCGAGGAGGAAGCTGTTTAAGCCGTGAAATATTGCTCAACTCTTATTCGAGTGGACCGCACTTGAATTCGATATCGGATAAGTTATTAATGGAATCTATAGGAAAACGTTTAGTCATCTCAACTTTTGAGTTATTGTCATCGTATCCAGCCCATAGGTATTCCTGCGAAGTTTTCACTTGTTATTCAAATTTCTACGGTTTTCACTATACCACTGGTAGACGGTACAACGTATAAGACATTTAGTCAGCAGATATTGCTGAATAAAATCTATCAATTTTACAGTCACCAAAAATGTTTTGCGTATGTTTTATAAGATTTCCGATAAGCTATTACTGTGTATCGAACACTTTAAAAAAATGAAAACATTTTATATACGTAAAGTACGAAATTGTGTAAATGAATACAAGCAAAATAGCCTTCTCTTCTTTCCTCCTAAAATTAAAGGTTTTGTGAGAGAAATTTAAGAATGTCCACTGTAAGCTATAAATCGAAAATTCGAGATTGTTATATGTAAACAAAGTGAGGAGCAGAGACATTCAAGAGAACAGAACAGTATCGTCCATTATATGTTACTAATATTTTATTTCGCTTTCTAGGAACTTCATCGAAATCAGTCGTGTTAAGCTTACATATATATGCCTTTAGGCGCAAAACTTTCTCTTACTGCACGTTTAACTCCCCAGTTAATTGATATGAAATTTAAGACTAGTTCAAATATAGTATTCCTCACTTACGTTGCAGGATGTGTCATCACATGATATCAAACCGACAATCCTGACGATATATACCAATCCCACTTAAGGCTTGTAGTGTTCAATAAGCCCGAATGGATTTCATGCTTTCTACCTTATTAGGATGCTGTTGTATTCTACATTCTACATTTTTTTACTTAAAAGGGGCGTTGATTTTCTCCATTTGATACGGTACGTGCACCAACCAGGTGAAAGTATAGAGAGACTCCAGGTACAATTATCTAGATTTCTTACCATTGCGTAGGCGGTGTTCGCGGATACAAATCATAGTGCGTTAGAGCATACCTGACCACAGCTACAACGAGTGACCAGTCGGTAAAGACATATACCAATTAACGATCACGTTAGGGTACGGCCTATCTCTACCTTTTTCTCTTTTCCCATTTCTTTTTAACCATCAGCGTGCACCAGTAGCTACATTCTTAGGTATGCCAGTGAAAGTTTTGCGTACATATAGCTCAGATATTGATGCTTGTATCAGAGTGCAGATGGATAGACGCCTTCTTTCTTCTTTTTTTTTTTTTGTGTTTTCAACAGGATTAAGCTGAAAAAGAGGCAGCTGCAGTAAACTGAAGAAAAGTTCGAAGTGGTTTTTATTAATAAATAGAAATTTTTTCATTTTATAAACCAATTCACCTTATTTTTTGATCATAATAGTATGTCTTTATTATTTATTATATATAACAATAATATCCGTGAAAAAATATGAAACTGGATCAAAGTAAACAAACATATAGGCTTTGAGTAGCTAGAATCCCCCCCGCTAGAGCTGAAATTTATCAAAAGCAGTATTAGCAGCGTTATTTCAATTTAAAAGAAGACAATAACTCTGTCTGGCATCATTTGATTTGATTCAGTGGATTGGATTTTAAGTTTGCCACAACTAGCCGAGATGCGGAATATCGATATTTATGGATCTTGCATAACACGCAACGCAATGGCATTTTTATTGACTAAATAAAAAATCAGTCCAGCTCATCTCCAAGAGACTGAATTTCACGGCATAAGCATTTTTATCGATTTAACTCTTGGCAAGCGATCAGCTTTAGTTTGAAAGAATGTCCGAATGATACGTTCCAAGACGCTGATTAGGTCCGGAAAGGACTCGCACTGCAGATGATATCTCTGATTGAGCTGCGTGCAGTGTATATCTAAACGGCCAAGTGGCCGTCCAGGCCTTACAGCAAAAGCGAAAGTGCGAAAGTCCCTATCGGTAATGCGATTAACACGGCTGAGCTGAATAAGCGAAAGACTACGAATGCAACGTCACTTGGAACAATTGAATTTGACTCTTCACCAAATAATATTTTTAAAAATATTTGTTTGAATTTCGTTATAACATAAGAAGGTGGGCTTAACGAAGGTATGGATAGGTCAATTTATGTTGATCGGAATCTTCTTTTTCTAGGGAGAAACTAAAAAAAATTTCGATTATATTAATTTTCGAAATATTAGACAATTCTTTCAAGTACTTGTCTTAAATGTGTTTTGATTTGCACTGATATGTGTTCGAGTGTACAGACAGCGTCAGTAGTTAATTGAGTAAAATCTTTAATATCAAAAAGATTGTGTCAAGATTGTGAGAAACAAAAAATTCATGAGCTTAAGACTCATGACAGAAAATCAGAGGCAAAAAAAAAAAATAAAATAAAATAAAAATAAAATATTAATAATAGTAATATAAAGACAACTACAATAGTACAGCATGGCAGCAATTGCCATAAAATAAAAATTCAAAATTAAAATAAAATTAAAATAAACAATAATTGAATTGCTTAAATTATACGAATGTGTATGTACAACATATGCATGGTTATGGAAAGAATATTTTGATGAAGAAGAGACCTTTGAGAGCGGATGAAGATGAGGATGAATTAAGATGAAAACGGGAAAGAAGAAGAAGAAGAAGAATAAAACAGTATGTAATTGAATACAAGAAAAAAAAAAAAAAATGCTAGAAAATGTCATTAAATCAAAAAAATATGGCGACATCATCAATCATTCACAAAACAATGAATTGAAAAGAGCATGCGAGCGTTACATTCATTGTACGAAGATGAAGATAAAAATTTTTAAATATAAAGAAAGAAAAAACAAAGCTGATATTTAAATGAATGTTTCATATGAACGGCAGAAACCCAAACTTGCGCATATAAATCTGCATAAGTAATGGTTTGCAAAAACACCGGATGAGTTTAGTAAAATAGCTTTTAATTCTAAAATATGGAAATCAAGGAACGAATGCTTGAACAGATCGCATGAATGAATGAATGAATGCACTTATGTTCATATGAATTTCATATGTCGATATACATACATATTAAAGAATATTTCTTCGTTAATTTAAAAAAAAAAACTTTTTTTTTTATTTTTATTTCATATTTTCTTCTCTATTTTCGTTTTTTAAATTATAATCGCTATTGTCTAATTTTCCTAATAATAAAATAAAAATCAATTCTATTTTTAAGACATATTACGAATATGCACTTTAAGGTTTCCAATATTCGTTACGCGTCAAATTGAAAACATAATCTATGTGTTTGAATGTGATTTTGAAAAAACTGAAGCTTCAGCCGTCAGTTTATTCTTTCATAGGGCACTCACTAGCTTCTTAAATAAACAAATTGCATGCCGCAATAATAAAATTAAGCAATAACAGGTTACACAGGGTACAATGAAAGCATCAACTGTATATAGAAATTTGAAAATCAAAGACATTTAAACGTTCGTTACAAAAATGACCCACTCATGTAACTGAAATGCTCGCAATTAATAACATTTTTTTATGCACACTTGCTTGAGGCGATTATTAGCCAAGCATTCGCCACAAGGTGCATAGAATTTTCAAAGTTGTTAGTGTTTTTGATTTTTACTCACATGATGATATCAACATGAAAGCATTCTAGAAAAAATCGAGTAATCAAATCGATGCATAACAACAATAGTTGCTGGACTTCTTGAAACGAGATAATTTTACACTGAATTCTTCATTTCGTTTGCAACATACTCAACAATATATGATAATGTCGTCCGTCAAAAATAATTTACAGAAGCTAGCTTTTAACCCATAGATTTAAATCATTGTTTAATCATATATTTCCCTCATCTGACATTTCATTTATTTTCGTGATAAAATACCAAAAATTATACCTTATTTTCATGTTCAGTACATACTGTTCGTGGTAATGCTTAGACGGTGTGGACTCTTGCAAATAGACTTACACGGTATAGTTAATTTTCATGTCAAATTTGTATATATCGACTAATTCTCATCATTAAATATTAAAGATTAGACCTGACTTCACTGATCCATCCAATCCGAATTTTTCACTTCAATTCGGCGAACCGATGCTCAATGATTTTTGTCGGGAAATTTGAAAGTGTTGCATTTTTTTTCTCATATAACCATTTTTCTAGGAGAAGGCTCTCACGCGGACTGACTGCCAAACATCGTCCTATACTACACGATTTCAAAGCAGTGATCCTCTGACCCAAACAGGTCAACGTATCAAATTTAGTTTAAAGATTTCAGAATCTGTGACAAATACATAAGCAGACATCATTCGAACCGAAAGACAGACAGACACAAGCCTAATTCGATTCAAAAAGTGATGCGGAATCGAACGATATACAATAGCAGAAAGAAGGATCTTTCTTAAGTGTTTCTAGGTATTGATACCACAAATGGTCTTGGGTATACTGGCAATGTTTTTACATTGCCGGGTCAAACAACGGCCTTCGGTCTTCGTAAAAAATTCTTCCATTTTCTATCTTGTTGTCTATTTTCATTTATTTATCGTCGGAAATAATTGCAAAGTAAGAGGTCAAACTCAACGCGTCCGAAGAAGGATTAACGCAAAAAAGAAAGAATTATTCTTTCCGCTCCAACCCCATTTATATATGTATACGTGGCGGGTATCCAAAGGTTAAATGCAACTTTCTTGTTTGTGTGTTTATTTGTTTTTGTTATTTTTATCTCTAATGCATATTCATTTCATTAATAAGGCATTATATGTGAGTATAAATCTTAACATATAATAGGTTGGAGGGAAAGTTATGTCGTATTTTAGAGAAAATATTTGAGTTCATTTATAAAAATACATGTTTAATATTAAGCAAACATATATGGTCTATTATTTGTTACAACCTATTGCCACCTCTCAGGTAATCTGGGAATTCCCATTTTGTAGAAGTCTCGACCTTAGAGTTAAAATAGTCAGCAAATGCCTTAGAAACATTTGCAAAAGACTTGAATTTCTTCCCGTTAGATAAGTTTACAGCGATCTGAACAGGTTATAATCAGATGGTGGAATGTCAGGTGAATACGGTGGGCGACTAAGAATTTCCTATCCTAACGCATTCAGTTTTTGTTTGTTTGCCACTATCGCAGGTGGTCGAGCATTATCGTAGTGGAATACTATTCCTTTTCTGTACGCTAATGTACGCCTTATTTTCTTGATACACTTTTGTACTTTAAGACAA